GAAAAATTAGAGGAGCTCTAGTGTTAGGGTTTAGGGTTTTAATCTATCCTATATCTATATCTCTCATCTCTTGTATTGTGTGTGTTTAAGCCTTGTTTTGTACACAAACACACACTACCACACCTTCCTTGGAGTGAAGCCTTGAGGTTTTTTTTTAGAGTTTGAAGTTGATTTCAACCTCAAGAAGCTGCTGGAGCTCCATTGTTGAAGAAAGTCTACAAGGGTAATCACTTTTCCCTTTTATCCCATTTTTGCACACTACTTTACCTATCTTGCACTATTTAAACTGTTTTTTGGCTTTGCATATAATACGTAAAAGTTCTATTTTTAAGGCCTGTAAATAGTTTGTTAAGAGTGTTTTAAGCTTTGGGGTTGTTTGACCCCTCTTATGCCTTGTAAGGCTCCATTTTGTGCCATTTTGTGTGAGCTCCGGGACTTTGGTGTTTGGGCCTCCTCACCACTGAAATCTTGAGGGATTTCAGAGGTGAGGATGGTGCCTTGAGGTCCCAAGAAGGAGAGGGCCACCCCTTCTTCTTATTGTCCTTGAAAAGGGCACTTTTTGCCTCTTGAGGGAGCACCTAGCTTAGGCTCATGTTGGCCATGCCTTGCTGTTTTTTTATGCTTATTATGTCATAATATAGCATTGTAGTATGTTGGTTTTGGTACACCATGTTTGCTTGGCATACATGCCTTTCAATGCCATTTTGTTGCCTTAATGTGCATCTAGGTTTTAACCCTTGTTCAAGCATGCTTTAGGCCTAGCTTTGTGAAGCTTTCATGTTTATTTTGCCATGTTTAAGGTCTGTCCTCAGCTGTTTTGGTCGACCATAGCTTGCATTGCATACCCCCTTTGCATTTTGGGCTTGTTGGCCTTAAGTATATAAGTGTGTAGCATGCCTTGTTTGTATCATTTCAATGGTTTGGAACCACTTAACATGTTATCTCAGTCCTTATGACATGCTTATATGCTTGCATTTAATCCTCCTTCAATGTGTTTAAAGGTTGTTACCTTATGCCCCTTGTTTAGGCCTCGGAGTATGCTTGCACTTTTAGACCACTTAGATGCCATCTAAGTGCACCCTTGGCTTTGTTTAAGTCTGCATTTGACTTGTTTTAAGTCCCCTTAGCGTTGTGAGGTTTGGTGGACTTGACCTTGGTTTAAGCCTCCTTGGTTTGTCTTAAGCACTTGGGCCATTGTGGCATGTTTTGCTTGCTTTGTTTAGTTGGTTTGGCACCTCCTATAGCATGATTTTCAGAGCTTCATTTGCATGTTAATTGTCCGTGCTATGCCTCTTTTAAAGTGCGCTTAAAAGTTGCCTTTATGTGCTTAAATGTTGGTCCATGTTGTCATGTATGCTTGCATGTGCATTTGGCCTCATTTCCTTGGTTGATGGCCACTGTTTTGGGCTTCCTTAAGGGCTGCCCAAACGAGCTTAAGTCCATCCTTTGCTTGTTTGCATGCTTACCTTACATGTGTTGCTTGCATACTTGCATAAATGCATTGTATACCCATGTTGCATGCTAGTTCACATGCCTAGGTTGCAC